ATGTGTGTATGTGTTATATGTGCATGTGTGAATATGTGTGTATGTGTCTATATGTGTGTGTAGATGTGTATGTGTGTGTATATGTGTGTATGTGTGCAGATGTGTGTGTATGTGTGTATGTGTGCAGATGTGTGTGTATGTGTGTATGTGTATGTGTGCAGATGTGTGTGTATGTGTGTATGTGTGCAGATGTGTGTGTATGTGTGTATGTGTGTATGTGTGTGTATGTGTGTATGTGTGTGTATGTGTGTATATGTGTGGGTGTATGTGTGTGTATGTGTGTTATATGTGTGTGTATGTGTTATATGTGTATATGTGTGTGTGTATGTGTGTGTGTGTGTGTGTGTGTGTGTGTGTGTGTGCAAGCTTTTTTCCCTCTCTCATCAGACCAAGTTGGGTTGGCTACATCCCCAGGGTTGTCTTTCAGGGGATACTTTTCTCCATCATCCCTTCTGTGTGTTCCTTTGTCCTCAGCCCAACTTCTCTCATCAGATTGAATGTAGGCATGGGTTTCTGCCTTACAGTGTAACTCTGTGCGTGTGTGTGTGTGTGTGCATGACCACATTTCTTCCTACTCCCATCTCTACCTGTCTCTGACTCCATCTGGACCTTCCCTGCCAGGTCACCTGTACTTGTCCCTACGAATCTGGGAGGAGAAGTAGGGGACGGATGAGAAGACGCTGCTGCCATGCCAGTCTCTTGTCGCCCCTCAGCCTGATGCCGGAGTCCTTGGTCCCCTCTCATGCTCTCCTTTGGCATCTGGCAGCCTCTCCTGAGCTGCCTTTGAGCGTCTCCATGTTTCCACAGCCCTGAGTCTCCCTCGCTCCCTCCCTCTTAGTTCCTTGGTTCCTCTCCTCCCTCCCTTTATCCCTCTGCCCAGCGACGAGGGGCATCAGGGCCCTCCATTATGGATTCCTCCCTTTATCTCACTGCTTCCCTTCTACCACTTTTTTCCTCTTCTAGCCCTCCTGCTGTTGCCGTGCACACACACACCCCTCCATCTCTGTCCCCATCTTTTGTCTGCATTCTTGCAGCTGTCTCTCTGACCCTCACCTGCTGCCTCACTCCTTTTCTCTCTTTTCCTCCACAGACACTTGACTGTATGGCCTTCGGTCTTCTCCTAGCTCTGCCCCCTTCTTCCCAACATTGCCCGCATTGATGCTTTCTCCCCGTCCCTATGAAGAAGAAATGCAGAGAGACACCAACAGTCTTGGAGAGACATGGAGCAAAAGAAACAGTCACACACACACACAGGAGAGAGATAGGTTGGGTCAGAAAGACAGTGTGGGGACACACAATCAGGCATTCTCCACTGGAATCCCAGCCTTGGATGGGATGGATGTCCTGGGGGGCTTTGGGCTGATCCCTGACCCCTGAGGACCTGATTTCCTCTTCCACAAAATAAAGGGGTTGAATGGTCTCTAAGGGTCCTTCCGGCTGCTACTCTGATTCCAAGGTATGGATGGATGGATCCTTTTCTTTTACCAGGGATGCCAAAGGAGTCACACAGACAAAGATACACACACACACACACACACACACACACACACACACACTCAAAAGACCTCCCCCTTTCCCTACCTTCAAACCTCTATTTAAGCTCCGCTCCCAAGTGGTAGAATGGACACTGTACTGGGGACACAAGCAGGAAGGGACCTTTAGGCTCATCTGCTCTGATGCTTTCACTTTCCAGTTGAGGAAACAGAGGCACATAGAGGGACAGGGATAAGCTCAAGGGATAAGCTCATACAGATCAGAAACGGTCTGTAGACAACAGACCCAACCCTTGTCTCTTCTCTCTGAGCCTCAGTCCCTTCAGCTTAAAGTGAAGGGGTTGGTCTCAAAGAATTCTTCCATCTTTCGCATTCTCTGATACTGTGTTGGGGGTGGGGATGGGGCAGCCCCAAGCCCATCCCCATCCCGGTAATTGTGGGAGATGACTTCACTAATCACCTTGTCTTCTGGGTTTGAGGCCTGGGGAAGGAGAGGTCTCGTGTAGCTTTTCTCTCTCTCTCTCTCTCTCTCTCTCTCTCTCTCTCTCTCACTCTCTCATGAATTTTGCATTTCTCTCTATTTTTCATGACAAAAAAATTTTTTTACTTTTTCTTTTTTTTTTTAAAGTAATTACAGAGCAGGGTAGTCATCGACACACACCTCCCTTCAGTATCAAAAAAGTCTATGGAGCAGGTTTGGGGAAGGGAAGGATTTTGGTGGGGGGGGCTGGGGACTGGGGCTCCCCCCTCCTCCCAACCAATGGGCAAGGTGGGCTAGGCCAGGGCTTGGAGCTTAGCATGTGGTAGGGACCAGGCCAGGGGTAGGAGGAGCTCAGGTGATTCTGTCTGTCTTTTCGGATTGGAGGGAGGGGAAGGCATCAAACTGCAAAAATGAACCATAAAAGGGGGTTGTT